TAACACTTTTTCTCTCAACGACGTACCTGTTACGAGCGGGTCCTCTCCACGCCACGAGGCGAACAAGATGGACGCCTCTCCCCCTCACACCAGAGGAGTCAGGGACTCGGAGGCTCGGTCATGCGGCTGCGGGTTGGAGATAGCAGGCACAGACTCACACCAGGTCTGCTCGTCCTGCCTCGGGCTGGAACACGCCCAGGAGGCTATCGACAACCCCGGCTCGTGCGGGCATTGTGCCCTTTTCACCCGAAAGAGCCTCCACTGACGGCTAGCACACCAAGCTAGCTTGTTGGAACAGGACTCCCTCATGTCCACTGATTCGCCGTTTGGCAATCAAGACACGGGGGCGTCCGCCGCAGAGACTGAGCCCCTCACTGTGTCGGTCTGGGGCTCACTAACAGCGGCAGCTGCGGAACCGGGATCCCACGCCGTGTCAGGCCGGGACCCGGTGGCGGCAAGAGACGCGGGAACGGAGCCCCACGCCTCACCAGGCGGGAGCTCCCGGCGAGACCTCACCATGGTCTCGCCCGCAGAGGCTCGGCCTGCTCCGCATACCGCAGATGGAACTGCTGGTGGCAGCCCACCTCCTACCGAGGATGGGCCCGTCACCAAGCAGGAACCCCACGCTGCCAGCGAAGGTGGACTGTTTCCAGTCAACCATGACTGAACGGTCCTACAGAGCCGCAACGTTGTCCGCCAGGGCTCTGAACGTTTCCTCACTGCTAACCGCATACCTGTGAGGATATGTTGAGTAATCCTGGACCGGCCGTTCTGGATGAGTTGGCCGCGGTCACAGACATTTGTCTCCGTGTCCAACGCTGCGCCGTCCAGGCCACGGGCAAAACAATGGGGATCATGGTGGTGCAGGAAAGAGCTAGATGGCTCAACCTCACCAACCTCCCAGACCGGGAAAAGGAGGATGTGCTTGACATGCCCGTCGTTCCCGAGGGGATTTTCGGCTCCGCTCTTGCCTCCATGCAGAGGAGATGCGAGTCGAAAAAGAAGGAGGACGAGGCCCTCCACCTCTGCGTCCCTCGAAGGGCCCGCAGCCCTTCGTCCAAGCTGCTCCGAACCCTGCTCGGTTCAAAATACCGAAAACGCAGAGGTCGCAGTCCGCCCTGAGTCCCCAGCCCAGGCAGGGGACGAGGGCGAGCTGGCCTAGAAAATCTCCGGTTCCGGCTGCAGCCCAGGCGCAGCCAACCCAGAATTTCGGCCAGCAGTCGAGGAAGAAGAAGCGAGCGGCGTGAAAGCCCCTCCTTCTCCCCTCTGTGACAGAGCTGGAAGTCTACGGTTCCCCAGCTCTAAATGTGTTCCCGCCGCCTCGAGAGATGCCTCAACACCATCCTCAAGTCCGCGTAAACACATGTCACACACTTATTGATTTTTCTGTCATAAAACATTTTCCGCTGACGCATCCAGGCTTCGAGCCAAGGGCGCAGCTCGAAAATGAAAAGAAAAACAATAAACAGTCCGTCAACTGTTCCCCTTCTGAGAGCAGCTACGGCCTCTCTCAAAGGGCGGACAATTGACGGGTCTGTGAAGACACCACCGTCACGCGCATGCGCAGTGCCGGCTGGGGCTGTAAAGGCACCACCGTCACACGCACATGCGCAGTGCCGGCTGGAGCTGTAAAGGCGCACCGTCACGCGCATGCGCAGTACCGGCTGGGGTCGTGAAGGCACCACCGTCACGCACATGCGCAGTGCCGGCTGGAGCTGTAAAGGCACCACCGTCACGCGCATGCGAAGTGCCGGCTGGGGTCGTGAAGGCACCACCGTCACGCGCATGCGCAGTGTCGGCTGGAGCTGTAAAGGCACCACCGTCACGTGCATGCGCAGTGCCGGCTGGAGCTGTAAAGGCACCACCGTCACGCGCATGCGCAGTGCCGGCTGGAGCCGTAAGGGCACCACCGCCACGCGCATGCGCTGTGTCGGTGGGGATTGTCGAAATGGGGCACCACAGTGCTCAGACACTGGAGGGCCCCATAACACAACAAATAGAGACTCAGAGGGGAAGAGACGTGACATCTCAGCTGGCTCTAAGGAGCATACAGCGGGAGATGCTCACGACATCTGCTTGGGTTTCTCAAGACAGTTACACGGAGCCATGGCGCACAGAGAGTTATGGTTACTGTGAAATGCGTAATGGCACTGCGCCACTGGCTGCACCCAACTTTTCTAGTACGAGGTGTGCCTATGGGTGCTGTCCTTTCACGGAAAGTGGTCACCACGGACGCATGTCTGACAGGTTGGGGAGGTATTTATGAAGGTCGCCCGGTGAGGGGTCTCTGGAGCAGAGACCTCCAGCGGGCGCACATAAATTACCTGGAGCTTTTAGCGGTGTTTCTCACCCTAAAACGCTTTCTGCCTTTCCTCAGCGGACATCACGTCCTCGTGAGGACAGACAATACGACCACAATATCGTATATTAACCGCCAAGGGGGTTTGCGTTCTCTCCAGTTACACACACTGGCGCACAAACTGATCCTATGGAGCGGTAGACGTCTCCTCTCTCTGAGAGCGACGCACGTACCGGGAGTGATAAACCTCGGGGCAGATCTACTGTCCAGAGGTATACCACTTTATGCAGACTGGACTCTACATCCAAGGATTGTGAGCCAGCTGTGGGTGCGTTACGGCAGAGCCGCGGTGGATCTGTTCGCATCGAAAGACAACGCTCAGTGTCAGCTGTTCTTTTCGATCGCGATCTAAATGCACCGTTAGGCGTGGATGCACTCGCGCACGATTGGCCCCCGGGCCTTCTGTACGCGTTCCCACCCCTGGCTCTGATACCCCCAACTCTGGCCAGAGTGAGAGAGCAACGCCACACACTTATCCTGATAGCTCCGCACTGGCCAGTTATGTACTGGCCAGCGGAGATATATCAGCTGCTGTGCGGGCAGCCATGGCAGCTCCCACTACGCAGGGACATACTGTCCCAAGCGGGGGGGGGGCGATATTTCACCCACACCCAGAGCGCTTGGCTCTATGGGCCTGGCCCGTGAGTGGTACAATCTGAATACAGTGTGACATGAAGCTGACCCTGGCAGCTGCCAAGCGAGCCAGTGGCACTCATGCGCTATCTGTACAGTCTTCATGCACTCATTGCCCCAGGGCAAACAGAGTGTGGTTGAAGCCCAACCCTACCTTTATCTTAAGGCGGTTGGTTCAGGTACCACATTTGACATTGAGGCATCCTCCCCGCCACTGTATTCCTCCGGGGAACACCGGCCGGATTTGCCGTGTTCAGCCCGTGCTTTACGCACGTACAGGGACAGATCAAGGGTGCTTCGTCATAATGACCAACCCCTTGTGTCCTGGGCTAACCCTTATAAGGGCAAGCCTGTTACTAAGCAATGGCTCTCCCACTGGTTTGTGGAAGCAATTGCTTTGGGGCCCATATGAGTCAGAGTTCGCAGGCACCCTCGGGTCCGCGAGCTCTTTCGACTCAGGGTCTGGCTGCATCCTGGGCTCTGTCCAGGATGTCTCCCATCCAAGACATTGGTGCAGCGGCGAGCTGGTCCTCGCCGCTCACTTTTGTCCGCCTCTTAACAGGCTGGACGTTCTGCTCCCAGTGGGACTCAAGCAGTGCTGGGCACCTCGTTGAGTCAGAGCTCTACCTGTTTAGTTTTTTTTCCGTTACATTGGAGTATGACAGGTGAGGCTCTGCCTCCCCTGCCTCCCCTGACTGCTCGTCGCTGGTATATTTATTTCTCCAAGTTACGTTTTTGTGTGCACTGAGGAGTCTCAAACAGGTGTTTGTTTAATCATTTTAAGATTGGCTTCAATCCATTTTTGCGAATTACTTCTTCATATATGATACATGAGAGGTAACATTATATTTATGGTATTATTTTCACATATTTCTCTCCAGTCTTCCTTCTGCCGGTGTCGCAGTTTCTCGTCTCTCCCGTTTTTGTGCGTAGTGCGTACGCATGAGTCAGAGTTTGCGTGGAGGAACGCACATTTTCCCGTCAAGGTTGTTTTTTATAAATCGCAAACATTGCTTAGAAACGGGCGTACGCCATATTTTGAGCGTACGCACCGTTTATAAATGAGGCCCCAGCTCTCATAGTATGCCTCTCGTCCAATGAAATGACTTGGTTGCTCTATGACGCGCTGAACCCAATGTGAGAAAATTACACTGAACTCTGCGACGCAGAACCTGAGATTACTTCCAAAAAGTACATACGTGTACCAACCCGAAGGGCCCATACCGAATATTTTCGGTACGAATAACTATACCGTTACACCCCTATGACTGAATGAAGTGCAGTTGATAAAAAAAAAAGTTGAATGAAACAAGTGACCCATGGAAACAATGTGTGAATGGTCTGACAGAGTAAAAGCTTTTTCCCAGCCAGGCTCTAATCTTTAGTCAATGAAAGTGCTTTTCAGGTTTTTATAAAAGGTCTGAAACCCTGTCCACACACTTTTCAAATGTTATTCTGGCAAGTTCTATGACTCAGTCAATTCGTCACTCACGCCAACTCGCTGCCGGACTGGCTTGCATGCAAAGGTAGTGTACATACCTTGGATTTAAATGTTAAACAGCTTAATTAAGAATAACATTAAAATCATAGTTGGGTTTTGAAACACTTTTGCCATTCAGATTGTATTATAGATAATGTTAAGGATCGCTTAACCAGAATGGTACGTTAAAGCAAGGATAAGTAATGTATTTTAGATTTTTTTGGGGGGAATTCTTGTTGACATAAATCAATAAATAAATTACTCTGGTGAGAAATCAAGTTGTTATCTGTGGTCAAATAATTTAATTTGGCTGGAACGTAGCTATGGAAGGTATGTTGTGTTATGCCATTTATTGTTCATTATTAATTATTAATTATCTTTTCTAATCGTTCCACACATTTTGGGGGTGTTTTGTTGTAGCAGCAGTTTTGAGATGCTTTTGACAGATTGTTGCTCTATTAGAAACATCATAGATATGTACTCGTGAAGTCATGGGAGAGTTGAGTGCAAAGTGGATCTGATGTATACCTGCAGTGGTGTGGTGGCCAGCAGCTCACACAGCTGCAGCAGCAGGCTGCCCGGGCTGCTCTCGTTCACAGCCAGGTAGATTACGTTGGCCTGACCCGAGGGCGTCATCACTGTCTCCCCCACGAGCGCCGCCAGCGACACGGATGATGAGAAGGAGGAGGAGAACGAGGCCATGGCAGCTGCTCCTTCCATCGTAGCTGTATCCGTAACTCCCCTTCCTCTTCCTCCTCCTCCTCCACCTCCTCCTGGACCGTTTCCCAAACCGGGCCCCTGCCCCTGACCCTGCCCTTGCCCTTGGCCCTGCCCCGCCCCCGGTTCGCTGACCCCCACGCCTCCCACCGCCGCCGTCTCCGGGAGCAGGGAGGAGCCCGAGTGGACCACAGCGATGTTGACCCCACCCGAGTCCCTCTCTCTCTCCCGGGGCCGCAGAAGTAGGGGGGGCGAGGGGCGCACAGGCCCCGTGCAGACCAGGACAGCGAACAGCAGTGAGAGGGCGGGCCTTGGGGCCACCATGGGGTAAGGGGAGGGCCAGTGGCAGCTGTCGGATGGGGTTTGGCAGGTGAGGCCAGGTGGGATCTGGGGATTTTGGGGTAGTGGGTGACGTCTTTGGGGGGAGAGGGAGGGAGGAGAGGAGGGGAGGTGGGGGGGGAGTGTCAGTGGCTCACAGTGCTTCACCTGATGAGGAGAGGAGACCCTGGAGAGGAGGGAGAGAGGAGAGGATGAATACAAAATACTGCTGTCACTGTTCTTCTACAAACACAACATGAAATGTAAGAGTCACAGCCTTGTCCCTGTAAAATATAATATTTAAAATGATGAAACCCTTTAGTATCTGATAAACAATTTAAAGACACATTCCACACACCACACCTACTCATCTTTGTTTTTACTGCTTCTGACTCACACTTCCTGTTAGTCTATAAACTTGCTGTTTACATGCCTGATAATTGAATCCTGCTGACATTTTGGATTAAAACGACAACATTAAAAGCTAACAGATAAGGATTTGTCAGAGTGTAGTGCAAAAACTCCGGAATAAATACTTATTATCAACCAAGATATTGTCTAAATCAAATGGAGGATCTGCGGATTAGTACTATAAACATGTTGAGGATATTTTTTAATGCAACATAGGTTTGAAACCTAAAGTGCAGCAAAGAGGCTCTTATTTTTGCAATTTTGCAACACATTTAGACTTCTTGAAAATCTATTAAATCTCTGGAAAAAACATCTCTTAGACTGAGGGTCAATAGAAACATGTTAGAAGTGAAGTGTTCCAGTAAATGGCCTCTTTCCTCTCAAGGACTACATGATACATGATTACATGATTACATGATAGGAAAATGTTTGCTCTCAGGGCTTGATAACATACTGTACTGTTGTTTGCTACAAAAAACTAGCGGGATATGTTTTTCTATAGAGTGTCATGTGTTTACGAAACCCAAGGCTAGTATGGTTGGTAAGGTGCAGTTAATGTGAGCATGACGGACAAGCTTTTATTAATGTCTGTAGAAGGCTATAAACCACAAGTTTCAGAAGATATAGCTCTTTTGTGTTTTAAAATGTTAGGTTTGATATGACAATCAGGCCAAATAATATGTTATGCAAAACTATACTAGACCATTTTTACTACTCTACAGTATTAGTGTGGAATTCAGACACATACGTTTCTGGCGGAAAAAGTAGAGAGAAATAGCACAATGGGAAGGTCAGGTCTTATCCTTCAAGACAGGAAGTACTGAATGGTGGTTTACTTTTATTACGCAATGAGTTTTTTACAACATGCTGCACAGACTAAGGTCTAAGTCGCAGCACGCCAGAAGCACAGACAAGAGCAGGACTGCAGTGAATAAATGGTGAGTCCAAGCTGAATAAAGAAGCAAAGAAAGACCCGCAGGTGACAAAACGGATATGGGATGAAGTGAATGATCTAGGGAGAGAGAGAGGATAACAAATAGTAGAGTCAGTCAGCTGAAGGGGGGGGGGGAGAACCAAAAAGCCTACACAATTATATCAGCATATGTATGAGAGTGAGAAACTAAAAGTAGAGAGAGTGAAAAGGAGGAGTGTAAGTGTGCAATAGAGAAAAAAAGGCCAAGCTGTGCATCTGATTCTGAGCAATGACACTCTGCATGCTACGGTATATCATGAGTATTGGCAATAGAAAGTGATTTGTGCATATGACATAATGGCCAAGGCTAAATTCTTACTGTGTAAAATATGTACAGGCATTTTCTTCTTTCCATTACTAGTTGAATACGATTGTGGAACAGTGCACTTGTTAAAATTAGCTATTAATATATCATCTAAGCTAAATGCATAGAATGTCAATGTTACAAGCTTTGTCTTATCATTTAAAATCTGCAATATATTAAAGAGGAGTAAATATTTCCTGTATGATTTTTGATTGCAAAGCTGTAGCTCTCAACCAGCAGTATCAAACCATTTTGATAATTGCAAAGTATAACATTATTGTGGTATTAACATTCATCCTTGAGAAATGCATGAATATCTAATTTGCGAGTAAATGAACAGATGGTGTGTAATACAATATCAAATCAAATATATCATCAGTTGGTGTAATACAGGGGTGGGGAACCTCCGAGACCATTTGATACGGCCCTCGAGGTCATTTGTAAACACACGCAAAAAATTAAAGAAATCTAGACCGCAATCTGGCATCTGGTTAGCTAGCTATGCTAACGAATATAAGAAGCTTTTTCTACAACCAGTGAGGTAAAGGCACATCTTTATATGATCATTATAGTTATAAAAAAATAACAGAATAAAGTACAGTGTTTCCCCTAGGTTTACTGCTTTGGGGGGGGGTGCTGCCTGAGCGGGGGAGGTGGCATTGGGATATATATTTTTGTAATCCTCTGGAGCAGAGAGAGGAGCTGTGGATTATTGTTATTGATTAGTGCATCAGAGTTTCTTGGGGTCAAAAACACTAAACTCACAACTTAAAATGAAAACGTTTAGTTTATTTAATAAAAGAGCACATGTTCAATGTGAAAAGTGACAGTAGATATAGATTGGTTGCAATTTGGTGCTATATACAGGGGTGCACTTTGTTGCCCTGGTTCGCAAAGGAGCACCTGGAGATGTTGCTGGTGCGCATCCTTAAAATGAAATAAACCGGACCTTTTGAGGGGTACTTCACTTTATGAACGGGGGTGGGGGGTTAGGTGCGCTAGTGAGCACGCCCATGAACTGTTCGCCCGTGCCTCGCAGCAGGGTTGTGCGGAGCACATAAAGCAGACCCTTCACGCGATAGCAAGGGGTAGAGCGAGGGATCGCAGATGCCGTCGCGCTCGCGGACGGATTAAAAAAATTAAACCTAAATGGCTCGCGAATTATACTTTGGCGGCCGTTAATATACCTGGGCGGCCCGCCCAACTAAAGTATATGTGTGGGAAACCCTGCTATCTTACCAGTTCTTATGCAACTCGCAAAATGTCTCTCTCTCTCTCTCTCTCTCTCTCTCTCTCTCTCTCTCTCTCTCTCTCTCTCTCTCTCTCTCTCTCTCTCTCTCTCTCTCTCTCAAAATGTTGGTGCGCAAATGCACTTTTTTCAAATGATCCGCACCAGTTATGTGCAGCCCTGGCTATATATGTATATACAAAATAAAATAATTGTATGTTTTTAAAACACCTTGAATTTCAGGGGGGGCGCGGGGCTCCGTTGGCGGGCCGCAGCGCCCCTCCAAGACAATGGTAGGGGAAACACTGTATACAGGTATAAAATACTATAGGCTATATATGACTTTTACAGCTTCTGCCTTACTGGTAGTCTGAGTGTTTTCAGCTGTGTGTGTTCTATGTAAATGAGCTGTGCGGTTGCCCTCCCGTCATTGGCTGCCCATCTCCTGGTCCGCCCCTGAAGATTGCGATTGGAGCACGCCGGGCCCGACGCACTCCAATTGCAGCGCACAGCAGGCGCACACCTGCTGGGGAGGAGTACAAAGGCCGGGGACGGAGATCATTCGGGAGGCTCTGACATGTGGACAGACGCCTCTCGCTACTTGCTCTTAGAGAATTATGTTAACTGTGGTTAAACTTGTGTGATTAGTAGTGTCTAGAGTAGCTTAGTTAGAGTGTAGCTTAGGATTTTGTGACTGTTGCCTTTTAGTTTAGCTGTGTTTTGTGTAGATTCTTTGGGTAGTTGTACCACTTTTAAAGTGAGGTTTTTGTTTCGTTCTTTATTTAGTATATTAGTATTTATTTTCCCTGTATGCCATTAGACTCCTTTTGTTAGAGTCCTCCCTTTGTTTTGTTTTTTGTCAACCTGTGCTCTTTTGACCTTTGTTGTTGTTCCAGGCTGCATGCCTGCCATTTTGTTACACTCTGGTATAATAAAGCCATTCATAATTATTACCAATCCCATTCTGGTTGTGTTGCTTCCCTTTGGTTCCCCTAGCCCAGTAGGGAACGTAATAATGACAGTAAAAAAAAGTTGTTATTAATAAACAAGAATACAGTTGGAAAGGGGAGTGATTTGTAAAATATCCATAAATAAAATCTGCTTACAGTTCTGTTTCATATGGATGTTGAGAGATGTATTCATAGATCTCCTAATGTTGCTCTCAAAGTGTACCAGATTGATGCATTTAACTTCAACATTTAAAAAAAAAATCTAACCTAGAGGAGGTTAGGCCCCCCCCCCCACTTAAATCATGTTCACATGGATAGGAAACTAAATACATTAGCACACATCTTGTGTCCATATCTTTCTGTTTTGGTGGTCATGCCACAACCGTGCACGTGCATGCATGCGCGAGTCATGGTATAATATCTGGATTAAGAGGTTGCTTTTTCTTTGCACAGCATGAAAGAAAGGCAAAATTAATGGGCTGTGATTTTAGTATTTTTAAGCAGAGGTCAATAATTTGTACGGCCCTCGGACGATGTTGAAAAAATTGAAATGGCCCTTGAGAGGAAAAGGGTTCCCCACCTCTGGTGTAATACAACAAGAAATCAATCTATATGCAGATGATGAAACACTCTTCCTCTCTGTTTGATTTACAATTGATCTTTGGGATGTGTGGTGTAGAACGGTCACAGTCTTGACACTTGACAGTAGCAAAGGTAAGGCATATTTGCCGTTTTGGCTCCGTAAAGCTACGTTGTGAGTTGTCTGGTTTTGACTTCGCTGCCCTGGGTTTTGGTTGCACAGTGATGATACATATACCTCTAGAATCTGTGGAATCCCAGCTTTAATCTGATATCTTGTCTGTGCAGATCCGATAAGTAATAAAGTATTTCTACCGTGAGTTCTGTGGTAAGTGCGTTAGAATTTGTTCGCTCAAGGCTAATTCAGAGGTTTGGTATTACCCTTGTGTTTCGTTTAGCTAAAAATGGTTCATATCGTCAATTAGCTGAGTTTCTTCCTGTTAAATGGGTATGACACATTAATAGGTTGTTGAATGTTAAGAAGCCCAGAGACACAGTTTCGTGAAAAGAAAGCCCATATACCTGACATCATTCAACAGGTTAAATTATGTCAGGTGTCAAATTAATTTGAAATTTAAATTGAATCCACATCTCATGCAAGCTGTAAATATGACTGCCTTGTCTGGTTATTTCAATTTTCAAATCTGAAAAATATGCATAAAATATATTTGATAAGACATGAATGAATTTGCTGTAAACATGAAGATATAAAAATATGTGAAATAAGTGAATTGGTATGGTT